TGTGTGTGTGTGTGTGTGTGTGTGTGTGTGTGTGTGTGCCCGTGTGTGTGAGGGAGAGAGAAATAGAGAAAGAGAGAGAGAAAGAGAGATAGAGATATATAGAGAGAGAGGGGAAGGGAGAGAGAAAGAGTTGGGGAGGAAGGGTGGTGCACTTTTGTCTAGATTCTTGATTTTAGTCTACGTCAATTTGCAGGTCGTTTGATTTTATACCATTTATTTGGTATGATTATGATGTTTGAGGACAAAATGACGTAAGGACTCTTGGCCACTATCTGTAGGTCACCATCTTCTGTGGTGTAGCAGTTAGGCGCCTCACCGTTGAATGCAGGAGACGCCAGTTTGATTCCCAAGGGGGGGTTCGAGCGTCTCAATCTTTCTGTTCGGATGTTGTATCTCTCTCAGCCTGGGTTTACCCAGGCAGACAGGGTCGGAACCCAGCCTCATAAAAGATCTTAATTGCGTCGATGGGGGCGTAAAACACCTACATTAAATACCCAAAATGTAGGCTTCGAGTGTTATAAATGGCAATGCTCACCCCTTGATATTAAGCTAACTGAACCATTGCGGAAAAGCTGTGCTCTTACGTGATGAGCATGCTCTGTGTAGTATATTGTAAATAGGGAAGTTAAAACCTTCACACTAACCTGCAATTTTACCTTTTTTTAAAGTTTATAATTGATAACCATTAAATAACCCAATGAGAATTGAACTGGTGACCATCTATCTTCCCTGACAAGAACAGAGTGCCAATTTCGATTCAATTTTCACCCATTGTACTCACGACCTTCCGAAACGTGTAAACCATTGGTCGTTTTCCGTTTCCATTTGCAATGTCACCTTTATTCAGCAGCTATAAAATCAAGTTGACTTTTTAATTTCCAAAATAAAGAAAACGAAAACGAAACATTGTGTAAAAGCAGGCTCGTGTGCGTTTTCTTTTTTTCTTATGTTTTCTTGGGTTTTTCTTTTTTCCCCCACTTTTTTCCCTTCTTTTTTAATCCCCCCCCCCCCTAGATTCTTAGTGGCGCAACAGAATGGACGTGTAGAGCGTAGCGTTTTGTTTGAATATTTAAAAAAAAACATAGGCTCTACATTTAAAATACCTACTGCTTTACAGTCAGATCTACTGCAACCCACGTTTAAACCCTCTTGGTAGCACTCGCGTCTTTACGTCTGTAGCACCATTTTCAATCGGCTTTACTTTTCCCTCCATTTTGTAAGAAATTCAAGCAATCTCACATTTGGATTATACATTTACC